CAGGGTCGAAAACTGACAAATACTAATGTTACTTTTACCGAGTTATACATATGTATGTAGATCGAGTTATACATATGTATGTAGATCTAAGTTTATTTAGACCACTGGTGTACATCAAACGGAAACGACGTGAAGAAACCTAGGCGAGCGTAGTGATTAACGCAAAAATCTTCTTTTTGGAAGAAAAGGCCTTTGCTCAACGGTGATGCTGTGACTATCTTGGAATGTGCATTACGTTTATTTCCGGGGTCTGTCAAATTAAGATCGACGTCTTATTATTTGAAAATTCTCAGTAAATGTAAAGTTTAGATTGATACAATTTTGTGTTTGGTGTATAATAGATATTCAATATTTCAGGGAGTAAACGAATCATAACATAAATATTGAAAAATGAATAAGGTTTAATATACACAATAGGTTGAATTCAAACTTTGTATACCCACAGGTCGTGACGCGGACGCCGATGAATAACTTTACTGATCCGTGACCTTTCGTGACGTGGACGACCGGGCGCCCTGCCTACACCCCACTTAACTTTTATCTTCACTGTGATTTAAAGTCTATTTTTGGCTACTACTTTTTGTTATGCGAATCATTCCAGTACCCAGATGAACCTACGTTTTCCAAATGTTCATATCTATGTAGGTTTAATTTAGAGGTTTCCGATAAAATCAATCTAATCGTAACAATATCTGTTGGTCATAGCAAAAAAGCATAGGTACGACGCAATATCTTACAAAATTTCTTAAATACCTAGTTACCTACTATGTATATTCGATACATATGATAAAACTTTATTCGATTATTACGATATTTGAACCTATTTCGGAAATATACAATAAATCAAATTCAATTACATTAAACATTTATTTTATACGTTTCCTTATTACATACGACATACGTCCAATTAAAACTTCTATTTACTGAAGCTAGTTACTCGTTTCAAAGTGAAGATTATTCTTGAGAAAAAGGAACTCGAAAATCCGTGGAAATCCGAAGAAAACCCTCACTATTTCCACGACCTTCTATAGACAGGTGTATCGCAAAAAAAAGTGAAATCCCGGTCATTACACCACGGTTACACACAACACTTCACCTTGCTAATTGTTTCCTACCATTGCAACTGGCGAAGCAGTTATGGATTTTTAATATATCGGCTATTACGCACTTCCCTTGTCAATAATAAAATCTGAAAGGAAGCTATCACTTAGTCACGTAGGTATTATGAACTGGATCTGATATACATTAAAATATTTTATCCAACACATGTATCTTACACATGGATCTCCTTATAAGTATATGAGGTGTGGGAGTGCCATGCTTCGGCCCGAATGGGTCGGCTCGACCGGAGTGATACCACGGCCTGACAGAAGACCGACGTGAAACAACCACAGCGTTGTGTTTCGCCGTGTGAGTGAGGTTACCGGAGGCCCAATGCCCTAATCCTCTAAACCCTCCTCAATCCCTAAATCTCCAAATCCCTAATCCCTAAAAGGTCGGCAACGCACTCGTAACTCCTCCGTTGCGAGTGTCCATGGGCGGCGCTCATTGCTTACCATCAGGTAATCCGTCTGCTCGTTTGCCGACCAATTACATAAAAAAAAACAGGTAGCTGTGCTAGGAGCCTCTGATATGAAAATTTTTACTAATTTTCATGACTTTAGACTGACTCAACTCATGAATGTGGCAAAGTCTATATCTGAACCGGCGTAAAGCAACACTTATATTGTGTTTCGCCGTGTGAGTGAGGTTACCGGAGGCCCAATGCCATAATCCTCTAACAAACAAGAGGCCGGTAACGCACTCTTTTATTTATTTTTTATTTTATTTAATAAAAAACGTTGCCCCACTTTAGGATTTTCTCCTGTGTTGTGGGTGCGTTTACAAAAATACAATGTCACATACACATGACACCCAGACCCGAAACAACAATTTGTGGATCACACAAAGTGTTGTTCCGTGCGGGAATCGAACCCGCGACACGTTGCACGGCAGCCAGTTGCCCAGCCACCGCACCAACCGTGCAGTCACTTGTAGTAACTCCTTTGGTATTACGAGTGTCCATAGACGGCGATAATTGCTTACCACCGTAATATGTCATCTGTTTTGCCGACCTATAACATAAAACATATTTATGTCATCCTTTGGTTACTAATACTATAGTACCAATCATGATAATAAGCTCATTGACCACGAAAGAGGCACTGAAATGGATCAGTTTGATGACAATGTCATGTCATTGTCTCTAAAACATATCGTCCGCGTTAATGGCTTTTAAATTGATGTCGAATTAATAAAGTATCTACAACCCAAGTCTTAAATAAAAATAGACTCTCTCACAAAAAGCCCATATCAGTCTTAGAACCCATCAATTAATTAACCAACTAAACAACTAGAAAAAGCCTTCAAAGCCTCACCACTCCAACTAAAAGTGCTTCAAAATGAAATAAAGCATAAAGATTCAAAAATAACAATGCCAAGTACGTACAATCGAGTATCATTAGATATTTCATATGACGTGATGTGAGAAAGGCAAAAGGCAAGCCGTATCGTTAATTAAAGGCAGTAATTTGACATGGACTGACAGCTAATATTATGTTGAAATTGATTTGTGTTCAAAGTTGAATTAATTTTGACAGAGTCAATAAGCCACTGCTTTCTTACGATTCAAGTGACTATGGTAGTTACTGAGGCTTTTTATTTTGTAATGTATGCACCTTTAGAGAGTTGGTACATTTCTTATGATGCTTGATTTGGTCATGTTATGATAGAGTTAATGGTTATTGTTAGATACCAATGTGACTCAAAGAACCGTGACAGGATTTTGTTTAGGCGACGTTAACATTTCGCTACAATGTTTTGACATTCATAGCATTTTTTAGGTTTAAAGGAAACTATCTTATCTTATCTTATATATATCTTATCTTACATTTCTTTTGATAGATCACTAACGTACTGTAGCCTAATCTTATATTAATCCTTTTTATTAATAACCAGTCATTAAGTAGGTCTCTGCTTACATAAGATCATTTTAGTGGCCCTTTTTAAATCGAGTCCAATCATCCAAAAAACCATAAATAAAATAAACAAGTTTTCTGCCCATGCGTCTTAGAGCTAAGCATATGATTATTCTTTCAACACAAGCAATTTTTTAGGTAGCCTAACAACTATTTCAGTTAAAAATATTTGCAAATCGTTTTCTAACATCAATCAATCATAGCTCTCCAAATATTCAAAGAAACAACAATACCTACACAATTAATTACGCATAAAAGTATTTAACACGCATTTATTATAATAACTACTTATCAGAACAGAACAGAACACTAGAAACCCCGAACTTCTATTAACATGCTAACTTCTGGTCGAAGCGATAGTAATTATAAGGAGAGCGAACAAAAACCGATACGTCGTTACACCGACAATAGCTTCAGATAACAAGACAGGAACCTATTTAAAATACTTCTAATCGAATATGGCTTTTATGGTCGTGTTTAACACGATTATTATATTTTAAGAGGGAGTGTATGACTTGCAGTTCGCAGGCACCGAGCAGGCCGAGGTGTCGACCTGTCGGACAATACCTTCGCGTCTAAACTGATTGATTAATGAAGCACCCGGCGAAAACAGACCGCCTACCTAATTAAATACTCCCGTCGGCAACGATTAATGGCAGGAATACATGATGGACTCAACGTTTGACTGACGATTGATTTACTTGCTTTATTTTTATTTAAAACGGAATCTAGTCTAGTTCAAGGTTGGTGCTTAGCACCACATTGTTCAACAATAACAAAATTATATTTAGGATTATACATACATACCAACATAAATTCATTCCGTTTTTTTTTCCTTAATCGTAGTCAGGGACTCAATATTACATACTATCTTCTGCGTCATTGCATGCAAATAATATTACGATCACAGATAGACATGGACACACATGTAGAGAAGTGTTTTTTTAATTAGACAATTAAACTATATTACAAGTCTATATAAAAATCAATGCCACTAGTCGTTGTAATGTTATAACTCAATAATACCTTTACCAATTTGGCTAATTGTGGTTTTGAATTATTCGTGGAAGTCCAGAAAAGGTTTGTATAGAGAAAATATAGATTAAGTGTAAAATCGACATCAACGCAATCGCTAGTTAAACTTTAATTATTACTGCGTTTATAGTTCGTTCCATAATTAGAGACAACGATTTGACATTTCGAGTGTTGCAAGTTTTTTCCACTTCATAAATAGTGAAGTCCCGCGACCGGTATTGACCGAAAGACCGAAATTAAATTCTGGACTTCGTGCATTTTAAAAGCTTTATTATTTTTAGCTACTTTCCCTGGTATCTTCCTGTGCTCATACTAACTCATTCGGGTTAAAATCACAATGGTAAGGAGGCAACCGTAAAATAGTGACCCCCCTTTTAGCAGCCATCAGTTCACGACGTATCATTCATAATTACTTTTCTCTCTCCGGGAAATCTCTAACAGCTCGGCTTTCAGCATAGGTTCCTCAAATATAATGTATTTCTTTTAACCAGTCTTGGATTTCGCATTTCTATTTAAAATTATTATTATTAATTAGACTAAACTATAAAAAACATCACCGCAACGTTGTTTTATTTTGCTCAGGGTATTTTATAAAAAAACGGTATCGGTAATTTATTTAAAACATCGTACTCGGGCCCATCACTGTGTTGAAAAATCTGGCAACATTATTTTGTAGTAAGACATTTGCTGTTGTCAAATTGTTGTCTCTAATTATGGAACGAACTATAGATTAATTCGTAAGCAAAAGAGTTTTGTGAAAAACGTGTCAAATACAACTGGCCGTAAATGTGCCTAGAAAACTTCTCTTTGACTGAGTATGTGTCACCTGTCAACAAAATTATTTGTCGTGTTTGTATTTTGTGTCATGTTTTCGTTTCGTTTCTGAAATTACCAAAAATAGTGAACCATTTTAAAATGGTTTACTACCACACATCTAGAAACGTTAAAATGCTGAGAAATGTACTCCGCGATTATGAAGGTACCAGTGATATGTCGCCTTATGAATACATGAAGACATACATAGAAAAGTGTCCAGAGGATATTGATGATGCTAAACTATCGTGGATGGCTGAAACATTCCTAGGAATCAATAGACATAAACAGTTTTTGACGGATATTGCATCACATTTATCTGAAGAACTCTCAGAGGATGACCAAGACTATTTCATGATCGTCCTTCATGCTGTCACATTTCAATATACACCAAAAGATATGCAGTTAATATACAAGTGTCTCTTCAACTTAAGTAAGCCCCTTTTGAGTACATTCACAAAATTTTTAAGTAATAATGAAGTACTAACATTTATTTCGCAAGTCGCTCAAGTCAGTTATGATTCAATATTCATCACTAAAAAAATAATAGAGCCCTTATTTGAGTGGCAGCCTTACATTAGTGATATGGGACATACCTATGCCGAACACGTAAAAAAGATAGAAAATAGAAAATTTAAACCTCCCACTATACCTATCCAACCAAATGTTTTAAATCATAAAAGTAAAGATGTATCGCTACCTCCTGTACAGTCTGCACTTCTGCCACCAACTCCTCCAAACTCAATGCATAATAAAAATAAAAGAATGCTCACAAAATCTGCAATTGATAACAAATTGAAACAAAGTCATGAAAAAAACAAACAAAGAGCTGCCCATCTTTTAAATGATGTCAAAAATAAAGATTTTCATTATGCTAAACAAAAGTCAGAAAAATATTTTAAACGTATTTCTAGTATCAGAGACGAAATCGAAACAGAATTAGTTAAACCAAAACAAAAACAAAAGTCTGCGATTAAATCAAAACCGCCATTAGTAAAAGAAAACGCTGCAACTGTAAAAAGAATGAATAAACGAATACAAATGGCAGAAGAAGAAGAAGTGCAGTGGTTGCAAAACGTTATGAAATCTTGCAGAAATACTGTCAAAATTGAAGAATTAACCGAATACGATAGACAAGAGAGAGAAAGAGAAAGATTATTAGATATAGAGAAAAAACATTTGATGGGTCAAATAAGCTATGAAGAAGCAGTATTAGCAAAAAAGAGAATGGTGGAAGAAAACAAGAAGAAATATGAAGAGTTCTTAAAGGAAAAGGAAACTTGGAATGAAGAAATAGAACGTTGGAAAAAACTTGAAATGGAAAAGAATCGTAAACAAGCTGAAAAACTCTCTTTGTGTGAATTGAATTTAATTCAAGCTAAAGGAAATAACCTAATGAAAAAAAAGGAAATTGCAGAAAAAGTTAAAAAGGAATCTGAAACGATTTTAGAACAAACTATGAAAGAAAAGCAAGAAGAATTGGATCGCCGAATCAACATGATTAAAGAAATAAACATATTAGCAGCGATTGCTAAGAAATCAAAAGTACCCAAAGTAATAGATCTCACAGAAACAGCTGGACTGGGTTTGCTTTGTGAAATGTCTATAGCTGAATTGCAAGAAAGACTAAGTGCCATGAAAATGGCTTTAAAAGATGAACTAGATATGAAGAAGTCACTTATCAAAGAGGAACATAAAGCTGCTAAAGAAGAAATTGAAGAGACAAAGCAGTCTATTCAGAAGTACTTAAGCGAACGGGCTGAATTACGGAAGCACAATAAAAAGACCAACTTAACGATAGTTAACACGTCATCAAAGGAAATAAATGAATTGAAAAAGATATTAGAGGAGAAAAGAAAAATGCGAATGAAGTTGAGTATTTGATCACGCGATCATCAGTAATGTTAATAATATTGTAATAGTGGCATAATTTATTATTTCTTATTATGTGACGTTGTTATAAAATAAAGAGACGGCTACCCATAGTTTTAATTTTTTTTGCCTACATGTCTATCATGAATAAATTCAAATTTAAAATGTTTATTGCGAACGAAGTGTTTACATAATTTTGTAGATATTGACAATACAACATAATAAATAATAATAATAGTTTAAGTCACACTTATTGAAATAACGTTCTTTGGTAATAATTTCGTGTCATAAGGCATAGGTATATCTTAAAAAGTAATTAGTATTTTTTTTAACATTTAATGTTAACCTAAATTCAAAAACAAAAAGTAAAGGTAAATTTTCACTGCACGGTCGGCGCGCAACGTGTCGCGGGTTCGATCCACAGATTGTTGTTCCGGGTCTGGGTGTGATGTGCATGTGAAATTGTATGTTTGTAAACGCACCCACGACACAGGAGAAAATTTAGTGTGGGGAAGGGTTTTTTTAAAAAAAAACATTATTAACACTGGTTCACACATTACCTCCTAAAAATACAAAACGATAATATCTTTAAAAATTTGTCAAGACAATGATGTAGATACCTGGTAAAAGTATTCCTAGAGGATTTTCTCGATTATCAATAATGTTGAGTTCTGAAGGTGATTTCGTAATCAACAAAAGGTTTGATCGAGTGTTTTTATACGGACAGAGCAGAATGAAGATGTATAGACTAAATTAGTGGATCGCACTGTTCATATTAACATTTATGCTCGAGATGAAGTTGCCATGTTATAAATTTTCGCCGATTCACAGAGTTATGAACATTTAGAATTGCAATCTGCCTGTGCAACATGTGATCTTACCGCACGCACTAATCATTCAAATAGGCTTGTATCGTTAAATGGCATTAGCGATACACAGAAATAAATGAAAATCAGTTATTAGATAAAACTAATTATAAAACAAAACATTATTAAACTAGTGATTGAATTCAATTTCGTATTCTTAGAAGAACTATGAAGTCACAATTTATGACATTATCACTTGTAATTAAAATTAATTTGTTTCCAACCGTAATATTATTCATATCTTACACATGTTTACGTCTATAGCATAAAGAAGTATAGTAGCAAGACAAATGATGTCTCCAGGCGGGGCCCGGTCGATGCGCACGCGTGAATTGGTTGCTGCACTTAATTAGTCCGCGCCGAACAGAAATATTAGTAATTGGAATTTATAGTGCAGATTTGACGCCTCGCTTGATAAACGACAGAGCAACGACTCCGGCCCACTTCATATAAAATGCTCCATAAACATATGGTACTACTTGTAATATTGACACTAATGTTAATAGGTGTAAAATTTCCTAACGTACACAGGTGATAATCCGAGCTTATAATAATCCAATAACTCGAAGCTTTTTACATAACGTGGATCACGTGACGACATATTCGAATCGAAGAAACCTAGTCAATATAATTTGGATTAAGGCAATAAATAAGGCGGGTTCGCCCGTTCATTTGTATCAGCGTATAATTTAAATTCTTTAACGCCAATGTTCAAGATTACGCGGCGAGATAGAGGCGCGGGCGCCCGTGTCGCGGCGACAACCACCAAATAAATTTATATTTCCGACCGGCACCGGGCTCACTTCTCTCTTTGTAGATAATTCGGCCGGTAACGTTGAATGACTCTATTAACAGCTTCCCTTTTTGGGATAAATGTCGACTTTAGGTTGTGTCGTAGCGCACTCTTATCTATAGTGTGGGATGCCCCGTGCTGTTCTAAACTAACAAGTTTATAGCTCAACCCGTATTATGTCTACTAAATCACAAGTAATTAATAATAAATTTGAATAATTACGATTTAGACTGAACGTAATTTAAATACGTAGCTCTAAAGCGAACATTTATCATTCAAGTAACATAGGTAACGCCGTGTTGATGAATTTTGATTACTAAAATATTATTTAAACAAAAACAAAAACTGGTTAGAAATTCACACTTTCAAGATATAAAATCAGATTAAATAAAAGAGAGCAGAAGGAAAGTGTTTCGTTTGCACAAAAGTCGATAGGACTATAAATACGGCTTCTCATTTTAAGATTATCGAGATAACAGTAAAACGTCAATAACCACCTAATTGGGAGAGAACTGCCTGGCAGCGGAGCAGCCGGGCCCGTCCTTAGTGAGAAACAAATAAATATTGTAGCACGGTACGAGATAATTTGCCCGATAACTTAATGTGCTTACATTTCGAATCTGCTCATGATTTTATGGGAAACTATCACACCGTATATTTTTTTATTCAATGGTGTCGGAAACGAATGATTTGGGGCCGGTTTTTTATATCGTGTTTTAGTAATAATACGTGTGAACAAGTAAATAGTGCATACCAATCGTCCTACGCGAATCGATAAACATAATCGTTAGTATCACTCGTTTATATGCTAATCACATTTCAAATCGATGATCATTATAATTTTAGTGTATCGATCTTCGACTTCTTGTATGACTAATTAAAATTAATTTATGTTGTGCTCGGAATGAGTGGCTTGTCGCTCAACTATTTATATCTATTTCCCTTTAATCTTTTAATTTGAATTGCCTACATTTTATGTTGACGTCGGTTTGTTTGCATTCAATTTAAATATTTCCATAAGTTTCAATTTGAGTATATTTTTAATGACTTTACTTTCAAATGAGACACAGGGTGCCTGTTTGGTTACACTTTATTATTTAAGTTTTAAATTGGTGTAACTTAGATTAGATATTTTAATAATAATAATTAATTTTATCAACCACTGATCTTAATTCGGGCACCTCTGATGGAGCCTGAGTTTAATTTCACCCCACACTAATCAATATCAATTCAGTACTGATTTAACGATAAAATTCCTTATAAGATTTTATTAAGCGAGATGCACCGATACGCTTCTGCAGTTGAGTGCAAACTAATTTTGCGTGTCAACCCAAAATCCTCAACGCTCCTTATGGGGGACATAACTGCCTCCGATGTGGCTCAAAAGAATTTATGTTATGATTGCTCAGTCAATTTGCATAAAAATAATATGGGAATTTTATGTGCGAATGATGTCACATCCTCCGGTGTTTTGTTAAGAAATGTGTGAAGAAAATTAACACGCATAAATGTTGTTTTTTGTAAGTTAACGCGATTATATATTGAATGAGTTTATTTTATTCGAAAAGTGTTGATTGGAATGAATAAAAAATAATGATAAAGATATTAATGTCTTAACGCTTTTATACTGAACCACACAAAAAAATATCCTTTTTCTCTCAGCTAACACGTGTTGATAAGATATACATTATCACTTATAAAACAAATAAATACCTATTACTAGTATAAACCTATCAAATTATTTGATGATTTATTATAGAAATAAAACTTAGCTAATAATTTATTCAAATCCATCACTCACAAACAGATACATACAAATCACTACAAATTAATTGGGTATTATAAGTCTAATAAGGAGATAATGGTCATTATGCTACTCTAGCTCCAACGTATAATCATAGCCTGATTCGTGTGACGTCATAAAATAGACATCTACAATATATGTAGCTATGACTACTTGTAGAAAGAGCCTAGAGTATTTATGACGGAATCACTCGAAATCATTTTATTAGATTTTGCTGCTTTCTTTAACAATTGACAGGATAGTAATGTATGATTTTTATTGTAAACGTAAATGTATGTGCAATGTGCCTTTATTTATTAAATGATATCTTTCAGACCCTTATCCGATTTAGCCTTGAAAATGCAGCGGTTCGAGGAAACACAAAGAGCCAACGCTTTCTTGAATTGCGTCTTGTAACATTTGACAATTTTAACAATCGAAAGTTTAATCTAAATAAAAATTCACTAAGTATACTCAGTATCAGTAATTTCTATAAATAAATTGGAAAATAGCCTAATCAAAATACAATCTATTTAGCTCCCAGTATTAAAATATGATGTTGAAACGTGTAATATAATGAAATAGACATAAAGTACGATAAATATATGATGTTATAATCCCAGCTTCATATCTCTGTATTAGCACTTTTTACGTGTTAAAGTATTGTGGAGATAGCGCTGTTCACACCGCTCTCTTAATCTGTGCCCCATGTGACAGGAGCACGGCACACGGGACGCGTATTCAGAAATACTTCGTGGTGAAACAGTGTAGGATTGTAGAGGTATTATTTTTGTAATTTTCTGAAAGATTTTGCAGGTTATATATATGATGATATGGTGGTGTAGGTCGCAGGTTTTTTTAGGATTACATACCTACCCGCAACGGAGGAGTTACGAGTGCGCTGCCGACCTTTTAGGGATTAGGGTTTTGTATATTAAAGGATTGAGGAGGGATCCGGGGTGGGGAAAGATTGGGCCTCCGGTAACCCCACTCACACGGCGAAACACAACGCTGTGGTTGTTTCACGCCGGTTTTCTGTGAGGCCTTGGTATCACTCCGGTCGTGGCGACCCATTCGTGCCGAAGCTTGGCTCTCCCACACTTAAAGGTGATGAAGTTTTGTATTTAAGGGTTTAATTTATTGTTTTGCTTTAGGTAACTCAAAAATCTAGCAAGCTTGTGACTCAAACGCTACACAAGCTCCAAATGCTAGCTTTCTTGTCGAAATACATTTTTAATATAAAAATGTATTTATTTTTATCAAAATATCACACAAATAATAACAATCTATCATATTTAAGCGTTGTGACATTTAGGTATACCTAATACTTTTTCTTACAATGATAAACTTTATGAAATAAATCTTGAGCATATATACTAGTTTGTAGAGCATAGTGTGTAGCGACGCGGGCACGCGGGCTGTGCGCTCGGCGCTTCAAACGACGGACAAAATTTATTGTTATTGGTGCGGGCGCGTACATGCATCCTCACTCCGCGCCTATCACGCATTACAACTTTATCGAAGCAACTCACTATTCCGAATAAACGTAACGTCTTTATTCCCTGTACAA